CCTTAAGCCATCCAGTGACTTGGGGCTATGTAATGTGCAGGTACCACTAAGGACAGGGCAAATACTGTCAACCAAGCCCACCCAGAGGGCTGGCGAAGTAGCTCGGGTGCTAGAGTGCCTGCCTAGCAAGCATGAGGACCCAAATTCAAACTCCAGTCCCACAAAAAAAAAAAGAGAGAGAGAGAGTCCAAGCTCTCAGGGTCCAAGGGTCACTGACACTTTATGGACCTTTTTTTTGATGGGACTAAGGTTTGAACTCAGGACTTTATGCTTGCAAAGCAGACCCTCTACTGCTTGAGCCACACCTCCAGTCCATTTTGCTCTGGTTATTTTGGAGATGAGGTTTCATGAACTATTGGCCTGGGCTGGCCTCAAACCTCAATCCTCCTGAACTCAGCCTCCCCAAGTAGCTAGGACTACAAGCCTAGCCACTGGTGTTCACCTTCCTTCTTTCCTTCCTTCTTCCTTTATTTCCTTCTTTTCCCTCCCTCCCTCCCTCCTTTCCTTCCCTTTTTCCCTTTCTTCTTTCCTTTAATTTTATAACTCCCATTCATTCACACCACTGCATTATTCCTTCCAAAAATACTTACTGTAAGCCTTTCTGTCTCACTTTTTTTTTGTGGTACTGGAGCTTGAACTCAGGGCCTACACTTTGAGCCATTCCTCCAGTCTCCCCCACCACCCATTTTTTTTTTGGCAATGGCTTTTTTCGAGATAGGGTCTCATAGAACTATGTGCTGAGGCTGGCTTTGAACCTCCATCCTCCCAATCTCTGCTCCTGAGTAGCTAAGATTACAGGTATGAGCCACTGGCATCCAGCTCACCTTTCTGTCTCTTGTCCAGGTAGAAAGACTTCTCTTTACCCCTTCTAAGTTCTTCAGTGCAGTTGGCCAGCCTGGTTTTCATGCAGTACTGAAATCCATGTCCATACAACAAAGACATTTTTTCTTATAAGGCTGTGGTTTCCTTTTGGAAATGAGACCTTGGTGCTAAATCACCTCAAATATCTATAATGGCCAATGCAGAGACATAATGCCAGCTGCTCCCCTCCTGATGGGGAAGCAGTGGCCATATTAGAACAGGCAATTTCTTCCATTTCCCAGACACTGTATTTTCCCCTGAGTGCAAGTCCTAACAGCTTGCCACTGGGTAACATTTCCTGTTTGACAGGTTTGTTCATCCATCAGATTACAAAGTGTGGGTGAAGACTATAGGAGAGACCATGTCACCTTATCTACGCCCTTTTAAGGGTGCATTAGATCAGGGCAAGGCAAAAGAATGAACTAGCCAAACATTCCTGCCAGCAAGAGGAATTCCTGTCTGTGTCACATGAAGCTAAATAGCTTCTTTTATCTCAGGATGACATTCCTTGTATTTGCTCTCTAGCCCCTAAGATTCTTTGCTTGATTTAGGGGAAACCCTCATGTTGAAGGACTTGCAGCAAGGGCTGCTGGGGGCGGCGGGTCTGCCAGGCCAGAGAAAGAGCCTGGGGGCCTGGCAGCCCAGCTGAGCAGGCAGCTCTGAGCAGGGCACGTTAGAGTCCTCTATGGCTTCTTGATCTTAAACTCCTACAGGCAGGGGAGGACCACATCTATTTTTCTGCAAAATGTACAGGCAGATAGGTGTTTGACACCCATTAAGCTCTGTGAATCCTAAGGAGTCTATATGTGTGTATTGGATGGGGTGGGGGAGGTGGTACCCTGAGAACGAATGCCCAGGAATGGACTGTGGCACCTCGGGCCCTTTGCATATACAGTGACTTGGGTGACTGAGGACATTTTAGATGAGCTAGGGTGCATTTAGGGTTGTGTGGCTGTAGAAAATGGAGAACATTTTAGGATTGAAGTCCAAAACACAATCTTCTATGATTGTAGGATTGAAGTCCAAAACACAATCTTCTATGATTGAGAGCAAATAGTTAGGTATTTTGCACAAATTACCCTACTAGATGTCACATTACAGTCAACACATTTTGCCCGGTGTGTGTGTATGTGTGTGTGTGTTTGTGTTTGCTAGGGAATGAACCCAAGGCCTTGACAATATATAACAAATGAGCTACACCCTCAGGCCCCAAAATCTTTGTCCATTTTTTTTGTTTTTAGATTTTTGGAAAAAAAAAGAAGAAGAAGAAGAAGAAGAGGAAGAGGAAGAGGAGGAGGAAGAAGAAGAAGGAGGAGGAGGAGGAAGGAGGAGGAGGAGGAGGAGGAAGAGGAGGAGGAGGAGGAGGAGGAGGAGGAGGAGGAGAGAGAGGAGGAGGAGGAGGAGGAGGAGGAGGAGGAGAGAAGAAGAAGAAGAAGAAGAAGAAGAAGAAGAAGAAGAAGAAGAAGAAGAAGAAGAAGAAGAAGAAGAAGAAAAGGAGATCTCTACCAGATAAAACAACTTTACAACTGTCTTTGCCTCCAACCTGAGTCTGGACATTAACTGTGATGTTTCTCCGAGGCTCTGACTCACAGCCTCCAGTCCCTGCCTCTCTTGCCCGCTGTGTGCTGGCTTAAGTGCCTTAGTCTGCTCTCCCACCTGACCTGTGCTATGATTTGAGTATGTCTGCCTCACCAAAAGTTATGTTGAGTGTTGAGGCCTGGTCAGCACTGCCGCAGTGTGAGAAGAGGGGTCTAGCAGGAGGGTTGAGGCGTGGGGGCAGAGCCCTCATGAAAAAACTGACGCCTTCCTTGTAGAAGCTTAGTTCTGTTCTTTGGAGACTAGTTAGTTATCACAAGACTGGATTTTATAATATCCAGCCCACTCTGTCCCCTCTCCTTGCACACGATCGCTTCCCTTCCACCTCTTCACCACGCAAGGCCCTCACTGACGCTGGGCAGATGCAGTTGCCGGATCCCGGACTTCAGCTTCCAGAACAGTGAGCTAAATAAACCTCATTCTTTTATAAGTTACCCAGACTCAGGTACACTGTTATAGCAACAGAAAATGGACTAAGACAGTCTGCCTCTCCCCAAGTAGCTTTATCTCCAATTCCCTGTCTCTTCCCCTCACAAAGTGCCACTCTTGTTCCCAGGACACTACTCCCACGGCTGGCCCATCTCCCCAGCTCAGGTCCTCCAAGAGTGGGCATAGTAGACTTTGTGCTCTATTTTGTAAAATAAGCGCCTTCACAAAGGTATCCATAAAGTCACTCAGAAAAAAATTCTGAACATCTCTATTTCCGCACCAAGAACACAGACATGTGAACACATACTACATAATCGATGCCTTGCAGAGTGCTAAGTCCAAAACCAAGATGCTAGTTGTGGTGCTCGGTAATCAAAAAGCAGGGTAGTGAAGGGAGCAGAGTAGCCTGGTGAAGACAGGGCCACAAGAAGACACCTGGCAGAACTGCGGGCGCGGTGCTGGGCTCTGAATTCACGCACCTCTGCTGAGGCCGCGCCTCCCACCGCCTCCCAGCCAACCACAGAGCAGCTCGGGGAGGCAGCGGGTCCCTGGGATGTCCTGCTGGGCTCAAGGACGTCTCCCCTGTGGTGCTAGTGGCTTCTGCTTTACCCTCCCCGTCTCTCCTTCCCTGGAGAAGAGGGGCTGTATAGGAGTTGGACGGCACTTTCAGCCCAATCGGGCGCCCCATTATCCCTGTCCGGCATTTCCCTTGCAGCTTGAACCCCTTCTCCAAAGTCCCTGACTCCGCGGAAGTGGTCCCGGAGGCCATCAGCCTGCCAGAAGGACCAGCGCTGAGCAAGAAGAGAGAGGGCCGTGACAAGTGGCAGGTTGAGGACCTTGCATGACCTCTCTAAGGAGCTGGGGTTTTGTCCCAACAGCAGCAGAGTGCCTGGCAGAGGATGGCGCTCTTAACCACAGTGCTTGAGTCATGCCTCCAGCCCTTTTTGCTCTGTTTATTTTTGGACATAGGGTTTCTTTTTTGTCCAGACTGGCCAGGACTGGGATCCTCCTATTTTTAGGTTTCTCCACTGTAGCCGGGATGACAGGCCTATACCACTGTACCTGTCTATTGGTTGAGATGGAGCTACTGGTTGAGATGGCAGTTTTGTGAACTTTTTGCCTGGGCTTGCTTAGAACCACAATTTTCCCAATCTTACCTTCCCAAGTAGCTAGGATTTATAGGCATGAGCCAACAGAGCCTGGCTTAGATTTTCTTGATCACAAGCAAGTCAGGTACTCAGCCCCAGAGTTCACATACTCCTCCTTCTACTCTTTTTAAAATTCCACCTGCTGAGCTGAATGTGGTGGTACATGCCTGTAATCTCAGCTACTTTGAAAGTAGAGTTTGAGGACTGAGTTTGAGGCCAATCTGGGCAAAAGTTGGTGAGACCCTGTCTCAAAAACAGAATACAAACAAAAAGTTGGGGGTGTGACTCAAGTGGTAGAGCACTTGCCTAGAACAAGGCCCTGGGTTCAATTCCAGTACCGGAAAAAATAAAGATAAAAATGTCCCACCTTCTGAAGGACCTGAGAAATGAAAATGCTGATTAAATCATCCGTGTATTAAATAATATGTAGAAAGAGTTGAGTTGACAGACAGGAAGTATGGTACATGTGGTTTAAGGCATTACAAATTTGCAAATGAAACCAAATTGCTAAAACATGCTGATTTCACTAAACTAACTTGAAAGAGAAAAAAAGCAAGACACTGGTATGAACTCTTCGAGTTTGCTATTTCCCCCCTCTGCTCTGAGTTCCACCCAAATATTTGGCCAAATATTTACTGAAAAAGTAAACTGATGATGATTTAAATGGCCAAAATACAACTATATAAGAGGGATGTTTATTAAGCTTATTTGAAAAACAAGGCTACTTGATTTTAAATAACTCCATTTTAATGTATGAAAGGAGTGGTCCACAGTAAAACAGAAGTACTGTTTCCAAAAACGTCATTTTCTCATCTCTGGTTCTCTTTGTGTTTTTAGCCTTCAATACCTGTGTTGTTCAAAATAAAGTTTTGACCCAAAGTGGGTTATGGAGCTGCAGATTGGAATGAGCTAAACTCAAAACAAGCAAAACAACACCAATAGCCTGAACGTGTTTTTCTTGTTATTTATGTGCTATACTTACAAAAACCCTGTTGGTCATTATGTACACGTTAGTGAAAATTAGTATTTTACATTTACATATATAGTTGCACATGGAATCAAGTAAAAAATGGTAAAAATTTAAATAAATGTTATCTGTGAAAAATACATGATGTGTGACTAATACAGATTTCAATTTGAGTGCTTGTTCAATATTCAGTGCTTAAAACATTTGGAAAAATTATCCCAAAATGTATGCAGGCGGAAGATATGGTAAAAGTGAAAGACAGGGAAGCAGCAGGTGTTCGGTGTGATTAACAAGCACAGGAAAAGTCCGCCGCGAGGCAGGAATCACACACCATAACTCAGATGAAGAATTAGAAATGAAGGAAGTCCAGTTTTGCCCAAAGTCAAGGTCTCTCGAAATTGAACAGAGCCAAGAAACTTTCAGGATAGGGTGCACGAAGGTAAGCTTTGATGAGTTCATACACAGCATTAGCGAATACAGCACTGACTTCCTTCATTAGGAGAGTGCCTTGGACATTGAGCCTACAAGGTCAGATACACGGTCAGTGCCTTGTTTGACTCTGTCGGGAGGGTAAGAGGACAATGTGTCATCTACTGACATCACACAACTTCAGTAGGAAACTGTCCACACTGAAGAACCACTGGATGGTATCAGTCACTCTTTCAAGAAGGGCTGGGTTCCAATTCATGAACCCCACATTTCTCGTTTCTCTGAGGACCGAGTTCAAGGATCTAGGGGCTCTCAGCCCAGCGCAGACAGCCTGGCCTTGGGCGTGGCTCCTCGTGGACGGGGACGGGGACAGTGACAGGGTAGGGCGGGGGTGGCGTGCTCGCTGCTAGTTGAGGCACGGGCAGCAGAAGCAGCAGATGGCGCGGCAGGGGTTCTTCTTCTTGTACTGCACGGCCTTGCGCACCTGCGCCTTGGCCTGGCCGGTGTAGTCGAGGGTCTTCTGCACGTTGAGCTCGATGACGTCCAGCGTGTCGGCCTGCTGCTCCACCAGCACCGCCATCTGCAGGAAGAGCTCGTGCACGTCGCGGATGCGACTCTCCAGTCGCAGCAGCTCGCGGTGGCGGCTCTCGATCTCGCTGAGCGCCGCGCGCGCGCCCTTCACGTCGGCCAGCAGGTTTTCGGAGAACACGTCCCACTTGCCCTGCTCGAACATGTCCTCGATCTGGTCGCCCGAGACGTCCTTGCCCATGATCTCCAGCTGGCGCTGGATGCGGATCTTGCAGTTGTCGCGCTGCTTCATCTCGGCCTGGTTGTACTCGTGCATGGCGCGCTGGAAGGTGCGCGTGAGCGCGCGGTACTGCGCCTGCGCGATGCGCGCCACCGCCGAGTGCGCGCCGTGCCGGGCCTCGGCCGTCTCGCTCAGCTCCTTCATGGCTTGCAGCTTGCGGTGGATGCCCTCGCCCCGCGTCTTGATGGCCTTGGCGATGGAGTTGGTGTCGCGCTTGATGCTGCTGAGGCGCCGCATGGACGTGAGGAAGCGGGCGTTCTGCTTCCCCAGCCGCTTCACGTCGGCCATCAGAAGCTGGTTTTCAACCTGAATGTCCTGGATGTCCTGGTACAGGGACTGCAAGATGTGATCCGTCTCGAACACGATGTCCTCGTGGGGCGAGTCAAAGTCATCGTCCGCGTCTGGGAACTGCTGGTCATAGTTCCTGGATAACTCCAGAAGTTCTGCTAGCCGGTCCTTCATGTTGCCTGCAAGCAGAGACAGAATTTAAACTCCTGGAGGGTCAAATATTTGCATTCGAAGGGATTGAAGCTTTAAAGACACGTTCTGCTCAGCACTCCTAACTCTTTTTTCACACGTGTAGATGTTAAGTGCACTCAAGGAGCTAAGTGTTCTGTGGCATTTTACTTACAAGAGGTAAGAGGCATGGACAAGGTTGTGTTTCTAGACTATAGACGTCTGCAGGTCAGGATCTCAGGAGCTCAACCAACCACTTGAAACTGCTCTGGGAAACACTCTGTTTTTTTCTGCTTTATGTTTTCCAATCATCACGTCAAAACAGATACAGAAAAAAAAAAAAAGTAGGGGGACAATAGGAGGAAAGCCTTGCAAACAGGACTGTCGAATAAGGACAATTTACACTACAATACTAAGTGATTCCCATTTCGTAGCTACTTAAGCACTGTTGCACACCCCCTCCGGACATAAAGATGACTCCTGGATGAATCATGGCTTCAGATTTTTTCTCTTAAAAATGTGAAAGTAAAATATGCTTGAAGTAAAATAACAACAAAATAAAGATAAATCTAATAAGGCAATAACGCTATAAAAGCTGGAGGTTGAAACAGCAAGGAACAGCACGTGCTTGTAATCCCAGCTACTCAGGAGGCTGAATCCAAGCTCAGCCTGGCAACAGAGCTGAACTCCATCCTAAAAACAAACAGAAACAAACAAATGAAACTTTCTCCTTTCCCCAGTATCTTTCTCTAATGGTAAGCATCAGGAATAAAACTGGTTTTCTTGTTTTTGTTTTGACACTGAGCCTATATAATATAGGCCAAGCTGGCCTTGAACTTGTGATCCTCCTGCCTCACTCTCCCAGGCCAGGGACCAGCTTCAAAATTTGTTTTTCTTCTTTTTTTGGTGATACTGGGGTTTGAACTTGGTGCCTTGCACTCAGGAGCTCTTGAGCCTTGCCCCCCAACTCTTGTTTTTCTTTACTGGGGTTTGAACTCAAGACCTACACCTTGAGCCACTCCACCAGCCCTTTTTTTATGATGGGTTTTTTTGAGATATGTTCTCATGAACTATTTGCCAGGGCTGGCTTCAAACTATATCCTCCTGAGTAGCTAGGACTACAGGCGTGAGCTAAAACCACCCAGCTGCTGGTTTTGGTTTTTGTATTTTTAAAAACTTTTACATGGAAAGTTTTAATGGTAGCAATAATATAACACACTCTTATTTAGCCATATAACAGAAATATTTTCCTGCTTTAAATAATCTTTTGAAACAAATTAGCAAGTCAAACAGAATTTTCATTTTTATAAGTGTGGTTCTGATCATTCCCCCTTAGCAAGGCAAAATAATGTTCTCTATAGTATACATACTTTGTCAGTAAAATGAAAACCTCTCATTTTAAATAGCATGTATATATGCCAAAATAGGGAATATTTTCCCTATGTACATGAGACTTCCTGGCTAGAAAGATTCTTCTATGTAATTTGCAGACAAATGGGAAAGCAGTAGCACTTAGTGGCTACACAATCTAGCGGGGATCTTGATCTTAAATTAAAAGTGTCTTCAGAATTGAGATAATTAATTTTATATAGCACCACCAATGGAATGCTGACAAGCTAAATTTACTCATAAATGGAAAATTATGAACTACTTCTAACACTGGCCTTCCATCCACCACAATCATTATTTATATAAATGAAGCAGACATTTTATTCTATGATGGTGATTTTTAGTACAACATGTTTTCCTACTTAAAATGCCATTTCTGCTAACTGGTATCTAAAATCAATACCAGACCTTCTCAGTGCTGGGGAAGGTGACTCTCCAAGCAGTGTGATTGAGGGACAGAAAACAACCCAGCCTAGACCAAAATCATGGCCACCTCTGGCCTGAGAATGTCTTGATATTCAAATATTTCTTTTCAACGAAGTTCAAAGGCAAAACAATTTTGGAGAAATTACAATATATGGTGGATGATGGTTAGGGTACTCAGTTTGCAGTTTTAATTATTTTAATTTTGGCGGGGAGGAGAAGTTCAAACTCAGGATTTCACGCTTGCCAGGCTCTGCTACTTGAAACTCCAGCCCTTTTTGCTCTGGTTATTTGGAGATAAGAGTCTCACTTTTTGCCCAGGCCAGCTGAAATCCTATTTTATTGGCATTACAGGCTGTGTCCCACCACTCTCAGCTATCGATTGAGATAGGGTCTCAAGAACTTTTTGCCCAGGCTGACCTTGAACTATGATTCTCCCAATCTCATTCTCCCAAGTAGCTAGGATTATAGGCATGAGCAACCAGAGCCCAAATATTTATCATGTCTTTATGCTGAAAACTTTTAAAATCTTGTCTTCTAGGTTTTTGAAATGTAGAGTGTATTTCTTAAAACTAGCAAGAAAATCACTCAACGACAATTCCTATAAGGATTAGCATAAGTGACAGAGGACTTAAGAGTAGCTGATATGTCTTAGTTCTTCTTGTATGCCTGGTTCTTTCTGGCACATTTCACATGATATCAACCATAGTCTTCATACAGACCCTGTGAAGGAGGTACTGTCACTATGAAAGTTGGTAGGAGCGGAGGGAGATCAAGGAACTTACCCAAGGTCGCCAATAAGGGATCAGGAAGGCTCCAGGACAGACACACTTAATCACTATACACAAAAAATCTTTAGCAAATGTACAGAAGTATAATCATAAAAAATAGTGAAATTTTTCTTTCTCCCTTCCCCCAAATTCATTACACTATCATTTCATAAAGTTGCCAAACTGAGTCCTGTTTTGATTCACATGGAGGTCAAGAATTCAAAAGAAAATTCATAAGCAAGTATGATCTGCTTCTGCTTTCTAACTTTCCTTTTAGGCGTGCATGTAATCTGTCCAGAAAACTAGATACAATAAGGAAGGAAGGGAGAGTTGCTTAAAGTTTCTTGTGTTAGGCAATAAAATTTTATGTAAGAGAACACAAAGGAACCAAGAGATGATGCAGCTGAGTGGCTTTCGGTCTTTAGGAGGCAACAGAGTCACCTGGAGAGCTTCAAAGATTGCAGATGCCTGGACCATCTAGTGGGTGATGTATGGTCTCCAAATTTGTGACCCATTCCTTTTGTGGCAGTTCTGGAGTACTCTAACCTCCCAGTTTGGGGGCAGTTTTAAGCAGCAAAGAATTGATAAGGAAGGACAATGGCCTCTTTCCCCACTGGAAAGCTGGTGGCTTTCACAAGCACTGCCTTCTGGTTCTTTGGGATGGATAGAGGCTAGATAAGAAACCAAGGTCAACTGAGAACTCACCCACTAGCTAGTGAATCATGACAATAATCTCTGAAGCCCAAAAGGTAGAGTCACCATGAATGTTAGAGTTTATTCCAACCTCTTTTTTGGGTGGAAAATTACAATTATTGCAGACACTCACCGAAGGGGAGTACAAACAAAACTGAAGACTGAGATTCACTATTATGTGGCACCTTCAAGTCCCTGAATGCATTCTCTAATAGCAGCCACCATGAACAACAGATGGCAATATTCTATTGACTAAATAAATTGGCCAGTGGGTCCTTCTGGGAAGAACCTACTGTAACTTGGCCTTAAAATTGTGACATTATCTATCAGGGCAGGAAGGAAAGATTCAAGAAGCAGGTTTCTACCTACCTCAGAAGATCAATGAGTGGGAATGATGGCTACATCAATGGCCAATACACTGGATGTTACAAGGAACAACCGTGAGAGTTATGGTCCTAACTACCCTCCTCAGGGAATCTTTTATAAACAGTGTATAGTGATATACAAAGGACACAGTTTGTGCCTACTTACTCTAGAGCTACAAGAAAAAAAAATTATTCATACGTTTTTATGAACTGAATTGGTTCCCTTACCACAATCCCTCCCAAATTCATATGTAGAATGAATTTCTAACCTCTGCACCTCAGAATGTGACTGTATTTGGAGCTATTAATGAGGTTAATTAAGTTAAAATGAAGTCTTAAGGGGCAGGCCCTAGCCAATAGAATTGATGGAAATTTCTCAGTAAGAGGAAATTTGCATACACAAACAAAGGGCCATGTGAAGACAGGGAAAAGGTGACCATCTGCCACCAAGGAAAAATGCCTCAGAAAAAACTAACCCTACCAATACCTTGATTTGAATTTACAGCTCCCCAGACTGAGAAATAAGTTTCTGTTGTTTAAGCTAGCCAGGCCAATGTACTTTGTTATGAAAGACCTAGCAAATCCATGCATACGTTGAGCAAATTTTGCCTAAAACCAAGAAATAAAAACTTTCCTGCTTTTCACAGAAATAGGCTACAGTATTACTATAAATAGTAACTTCACTTGGGGATAGGCAGTGCAGAACAGAGCAAGGCACAAATCAAATCGTGAAGTTTATTACAGAGATCAACATGTAGATTACAAGAGGGAAACAAACTAAAAGCATGTAGGGACCATCCTTTCTGTACTATGATAAATAAAAATGTTTTGACTTTATTCTGCTTGAAAGTAAGCTAGAAAGTTTAGCATTACTGTTTCACTAGGAGCAAAGTACACATTTATTTATTTTTGGTGGCACTGGGGTTTAAACTCAAGGCCTCATGCTTGCTAGGCAGGCACTCTACAACCTGAGTCACTTTACCAGCCCTATAGTACACATCTACACACACATGCACAGTTCGAATATGGTATTCAGCTACTAATGAAGCAAAAAAGATCTCGCTCCTAATATGAGTACTCCAAGTGAAGACTTCTGGAGAGTGTCCATATTTTGTGAGGGTCTGGTTTAATTTCATTTTTTTTTTAATTTTTTGGTGTGACTGGGATTTGAACTCAAGTCTTGGCACTTGCAAAGCAAGCACTCTACCACTTGAGCCACACCTCCACTCCATTTTGCTGTGGTTATTTTGGAAATGGAGTCTCACAAACTATTTGCCTGGGCTGGTCCTGTTTTTAGAATAAATTCTAAAGTGTTGTTAAAGAAAAGGATGAAGCCAAGTGTGGTGGCACATGCCTGCAATCCCAGATGCTTAGGAGAAAGAGGCAGGGGAACCAGTTCAAGGCCAGCCAGAGCAAAGTTAACAAGACCCTATCTCAGAAACAAAATTCAAAACCAAAAAGGGATGGGGACATAGCTCAAGTGGTAGAGCACTGGCCAAACAAGTGCAATGCCCTGGGCTTAATCCCCAGTACTGTATTTAAAAAAAAAAAAGAAAAAAAGGAAGAAAGAAAATTTGACTATGAATCATATGGCCCAGAGGCTT